GTGGGTTCTGGCAAATGGAGGTGCGAGTAGCGATACATCGATTTGGCGGGATTTTTTATGGTGGAAAATGTATCGGGGTACGTAGCCTAATTAGGAAGGATCCACTGCACTAACAATTCTGATCCCTGGAACCTGTAGAACCCTTCAGGGATCTCCAACTACACTTTTTCCCACAGAAAATCCTGCCAAATCAATGTATCGCAGACCCCCCCTGGAGGGCTCCGCACTTTTAACGTTTAATATCCTAGTCCCCTGTAGTCGACGGGGGGAGGGAGACAGAAGGTCTTAGCCCCCTCGAAGGGGGACGCCAACACAACCCCTCACCTGCTTCTCCTCTTCCCTCGGCCTGCGGCGTCGGCACTGAGCATGGTATGATTGGCATGCATGCAGCAGAGACAGTCTACGCTTTCTTGTGACCTGGCGCGATCTCTTGGGAGACATGTATAAGGGGCGCAGTCCTGTTCTTTGGGACGCCTCTGATGTCACCCATTAGCCCAGATCGTCGACTCTCTTCGTCTAGGCCGCGCCCATTTTGCCTCCTTTTCTCTTCGCTATTTTTTTCTGGGCTGTCATTTTGCTCCTCTCCTGAGACTATTTTCCTCCTTCCTGAACAGTATCGGATACCCTTCCAGAGTCTCAATGTCGGACCTCCCGATAGAAAAGGCGGTGCGTACGCACAGGGTCGATAGCGGCACTACCGAGCCGCACGCAGAGCATGCCTCCAGTAGCAGCATGACATCACCCGCCGAGCAGGAGGGCTCCCAGATGCTCGGCTGGAGCCGCGTGCGCGAGTACTGCCGGGACGGCTTCTCGGAGTTCATGGGCACCTTTATCCTGTTGCTATTTGGTGACGGCGTCGTCGCTCAGGTGGTGTTGAGCAAAGGCACCAAGGGCGACTACCAGAGCATCTCGTGGGGCTGGGGGTAAGTCGCTTCTTCCTCTGAACTCGCTGTAGCAAGCAACACTTGATCTGACAATACCCTCCCAGTCTGGGCGTCATGCTCGGGGTCTACGTCGGCGGCAAGTCGGGCGGGCACCTCAACCCGGCCGTGACGCTGACCAACTGTGTCTTCCGCGGGCACCCGTGGCGCAAGTTCCCCGTCTACTTTGCCGGCCAGCTCCTGGGCGCCATGGCGGCCGCCTTCGTCGTCTACGCCAACTACAAGTCCGCCATCGACATGTTCGAGGGCGGGCCCGGCCTGAGGACCGTGACGGGCCCCAATGCCACAGCCGGCATCTTCTGCACCTATCCGGCGCCCTTCATGACCCGCACCGGCATGTTCTTCTCCGAGTTCGTGGCCTCAGCCATCCTGCAGCTCGTTATCTTTGCCCTCGTCGACCAGGGCAACATCGGCGCCGGCCCCTTCCTGCCCCTGGCCCTGTTCTTCCTCATCTTCGGCATCGGTGCCTGCTTCGGCTGGGAGACGGGCTACGCCATCAACCTGGCCCGTGACTTTGGCCCCCGCCTGGTCTCGTACATGCTTGGGTACGGCAGTGAAGTGTGGTCTGCTGGCGACTACTACTTTTGGGTAAGCTCAAGCCTAGACTTTTGTCCTTCTGCACCTCTGGTTGCGGCTACCACTGCCAGGTTGCGCTTTTTTTATTTTATTTTTTACTCTCGACAAACGCTAATACTCAATTCTTCCGCGCAGATTCCAATGGTCGCGCCCTTCTTTGGATGCTTGTTTGGTGCATTTCTGTATGACGTGTTCATTTACACCGGCGACAGCCCGATCAACACGCCCGTCATGGGTCTTAGGCGCCTCACGCAGCCTCGGAGGAGTGTGTGGTCAAACACGTACAAGTCTCGGATCACCTCAAATGTCTAAACAGAAAGGAAAAAAAGGAAAGGATATTAGCAAGTCACTATAGGAGCGCGGCAAAGGCGTCGTAGCAAATTATAGGGAGGGTATGGTGTATTATAGCGGATCGGGATTCTTTTATTATGTGTGGTCGCCTTAGCAGATTAGGGCTCTATAAAACGGCACTAGCGTTACCATAACTAGCCATTTCTTTCGCGTGTATTCCTTGTTGTTCGGCGTCATATATGGCCCCTAAAGAACCTTCATTGGCGATAACATCTTCTGGGAAGTGCACGTGCGTATCACGTGACCTCTGGCCTCTGAATAGCACTGACTGATCGGGCCTCGTTGCCTGTTCTGTCCCTCCAGTCGCATCTCCACGCACTTAGGACACATCCAACACCGAGGCCCAGCTAAAACTCTTCGCAGACCAGGAGGAGATCTCCAGTAACATACCCATCCATCGGTTTTCTTGATGAACTGGTCCGTATGAGCTGACATATCACGGATCCACCGACACCATCTACATAAGCGACGATATGACAGGTGGATGCATACCTGGATTTCCCGTTTTGGTAATTTCGACAATTATGAATCATCTTACCTGGCCTGGGGGCCCACCACGGAGAACGGCCAAGTGGTATCCAAACGGGGATGACTTTCTTTGAATCACGGCAAGGACTTCTATAGCGATATATAGGGTTTTATAACGACCCCAGGGCTACTTTTGATTCCAGCTGGAATTTGGCATCATCGCCAACCACAGGTTCTAGCCTCGCGCTCCTTACTACCATCCAGTGCCTGCCTTGACACTGTGTCCCCATACACATCGCCATGACATCCGACGTCAGCAACCTCTTTGCTTCGGAGCGGCTGGTTTTCCGAGCTATGGAAGACAACGATGAGGACAAGGCCTGGTACCACACTCTCAAGAACGACCCTACCTCATTCGCCACAGCCGATCTCGAACTGCTCCGGCCGCAGAGCCGCAAGCGCACCGACCAGGACTTCCTCGAGCTCCAAAAGGACACGCTCGCCGTGGTGATATGCCTGCCCGCAGCGCAAGACCCCGCCGCCGCCGCCGACGGCGCCCCCAGGCCCCCGCACCCCCCACCAAAGCCCACGCCGATCGGGATCCTCTGCCTGTGCGAGACGGCCGGGTCGGCCTACTGGAGCCACCACCGCGAGTGCCACGTGGTCCTCGAGGTGGCGGCGGGCCACCGCGACAAGGGCTACGGCACCGAGGCGCTCAACTGGGCCCTCGACTGGGCCTTTACGTGCGCAAACATGCACCGCGTGTCCCTCGGCGTGCTCGAGTACAACGCGCGCGGGAGGCACGTGTACGAGAAGATCGGCTTCAGGCCCGAGGGCGCGTACCGCAAGACGCACTACCATCAGCGCAGGTACTGGGACCACCTGATATACGGCATGCTGGAGGAGGAGTGGGTCGAGCTGCGGAAGGGGACGGCGGTCGCGGCGCGGTGTTTGTGAAGAGGTCCGCGAGGGAGTGCTTCGCTGTATTGTGCTTTGCTTATGGCACTTGTTCGGAAGTTGGCGGCACTGTAATGTTCGGAAGGGCGGCCTTGCCATGGAATCGACCTTGACTAGCCTTGACCGCAAAGCGGCCTAAGACTCCCTGTCTACTTCTGCGGGTGATTTAAGCGAGATGGCGCTCTCTGTAGACCAAAAAACTGGATAATAAAAAGATAGAAGAGGTTAAACCAACCCGAGAGAGCACTTGCCGAGGTCACTCGCTGATCAAGATCCCGAAGCCTCGACCTTTCCGTGCCAGATCCCGGGTCCACCTGCAAGGGCTCTATAGAAGCTCCTTGTCGCTGTTCGCTCACGAGCGCCTCGATCGCGCAGGCTCATCGGGTGAGGCCGAACCTTTGGAAAGTTCCCATGGGCTCTCTCGGACTGGATCACTCGGTGGCCGTATGAGGGACTGGGTAGAAGATAGCAAGCGATTCCTTAGCTCGATATGGTCGCCGAGTTCCAGTCCCATGTGCACGAGATGTGCAGGGATCTGATCTGAGCTTCCGCGCTTGGGACAGAGAGGGGGGTATCATCTCTGGCCGAAGTTCGTGAAACACGGCCTGCTGGGGGTCAGGAAGCTCGACGGGCCGCCTGGTGCTGTTCTCCAGAACCATGGCATGCTCCAGCCCTGCTGCGAGCATGTCCAACCCGGGCCTCGCCCTCGTAGGCGCCGGTGAGGGTTGTCGAAACCTGGCCATGCCTGCGCCCGTCGGGCTTGAACTTGAGCTTCCGCCCGACCTGCTTGGGTCGGTCGCCGATGCTTTCCAGCCTGCCCTCCACCTTCACGTCCATCATGAATGCCTGGCCACCGTGCGTGAAGGTGAATGCGGTGTGGACGGTGCCGTTCTGGCCGCCCTCCAGCTTGCTTTCGCCAAGGTCCCACACTATGCTCCGGTAGATCCCATCGTCGTCGGCGGAAAAGTTCCCGTGGAAGTTCTAGCGGTGAAAGCACTGGAAAGATGCCTTAAAGGACTTGCCCATTCTCTAGACGGCGTTCCCCATGATGGAGATGTTGGGCTGGAGGCTCGTGTGGCTCTGCCTCTGCTCGGCCCTCTGGCCCCCCCACGAGACTTTTCGGGCCGTAGAAGTCTGTCACCTGGCTGGGAAACGTGGCTGGCTTGCCACCTTCCGGTCCCGCAGGGTGACGGTGACAGTCAGACGTAATTTTGCAATCCTGCTTCCGCCCAAAGACCAGGTCCATGTAGATGACGCCAACGGGATTTTGCTGTGGTGAATTGTCCCTCATTTCGACTATTTGCTATGTGTAGTGAGCTTGGGGCTCAGCGCCGCGGCGACGACGGGCGTGGACTGGCGCTTAGAACAGGAATTTGCAGTCAATTTTGACGTCGCCGAGGCTCGCGCCACCGGCAAAGTAGCTGCCCGTACATCTGTTATCGGACCGTTCGTAATCGTGGCTGCCGGCCTTCCTGTTCTAGGGCCCTTGCTTCATGAGATTGGGCTCTCGATGGACGAAGGCAGGATGGTGGATCTGGATGGGAAAAGGCTTGAACACTTCCTCCTTGGTTAGGGGTGGGAGAAGACGAGCGGTGCTGCCTGATCGTCACGGAAAATGGGGCACCACCACAGTCCAACACCGTGGCGGAGCCGAGCCCTGGCGGGTGGCTTTTTACTATTGGCGGCGCAGCACAGGCAGCACGGCTTGAAGCAACAGGAGACGACATGCTGGCAAGACTGGTACATCATCTGTTGTGTGCTAATTTTCGCACTGCATGCACGCGCATCGCTGGCAAGCATCGCGGCAGGCCAGCGAACCGCATTCACAAACATTGTGTGGCAGACGGCTGTGTGGCTGCGCTGGTCCGGACAGGTACCTGGCCGACCCCTATGTCCTGGTATAGTACGCTGAGCTGCTGTTGGAGATGGGGAACTACCGTCCTTTTGCGCGATTGATGTCCTAGCCCGGCCTGAGAGCCGAAATATTCCACGCGGAGGATCAGGAGATGTAGCTACCGTCCTTAAATCTCAAACTTCTGATAGCCAAGGCCAACATCCATCTCGGCAACACTGGCGATTCGTTGGATGGAGCAGTCGAGGGGATCTCTCAGGCTGTTCGGCTTGACGTCTTCGAGCTCAGCCCTAAGCTGGGCGCGACAGAGGTATGTCTCACCCATTATCAATGTTCCTGCAACCTCCAATTACTCGCTAATCCGAGATCTTTCGTCCCTACCGAGCTTCGGATTGTGAAACTCGCATCGCGCCTGATTGGGCAAAGATGGCCTTGTGGGCGCCCTTTCTTAGGCGATATCGAGAGATTGGTGAATGAACGGGTAGATTGGGCGACTGTCAGCCGGTGTCTGCTAGCCTGTCACTGAGACTGTGAGTTCAGAGACTTTACGTTGTCAGGTGTGACCTTGTTTGGTCAGGAACGCTTCGCAATGATGATCCACATGGACTACTACATTCCGTGGGATGAGTTTGAGAGCGACGTTTCGGCAACGTTGACACATCTCGACCTGCTTGTGTCGCTGCTACAAGACGCCCATACAGATATCGAGCCCGCATGACAAAGGATAGGGCGGACGCCAAGTCACTGGCGAGTATCGTCATGTCTTGGCACCCCCGAGCAATGCGAAGTCGAACATTCGGGCGCTGGCTGCTTGCCGAGACAGCAAGGGCTAGACAGGAAAGCTCCAAAGGTGGCCCACGTGGGCTGTGTCTCGTCAAACTAATGGGTTTGCCCAGACCCAATACCGCAAGGAAAGTGCCAAATGGCCAGGCTTTCAAGTCCCCTAAAAGAAAACGAACCTATCTAGACGGCCCTTATCATGGTAAAAGAGATGGGAGACTACAACACTCAGGTCGCTTGTCATCGGCTGCTGGCCCAGCGGTCCTCTGAGCCAGCCCGGGAGTTGCGCGAACTGTCTCGTCTTCAGGCGACGCAAGGTGACCGTGTTGGTCTGCAGCGCGACACGCTTAGCTCGTTATTATGTGTGCAGGGATACTGGCTCTCGGATGGAGTTTTTGAGAGACATAATGGAATTTGAGTAATTTGTGTTCAAAGCTTACGACGACCAATTCCTTGAGGGCTATCGCCTTGACATGGAGGCGCGCCGACGGCGCATCGGGAGCCCCAACAAAAGGCCTGAGCCGAGCGACGGAGATCATGGCCAAGGCCCAAGCCGCACATATTCCCGCAGCCCCCACCATCGACCTGAAAGACGTGCGGCAGCCTTCCCGAGCGGGGCGCGGGATCGGGTTGTATTCCTCCTGAGGCCCCGCTACGGAGTCAACCTAGGTGTTCAAAGCCGCGGCCGAGGCGACGATCAAGATCATTCTCCGTTCAACGGCAGACAAAATAGCAGACACTCTGTTCCGCACTTCGGGGAATACCGTAGTGAGGAGGGTAGAGATTACCGTCGACACCACAGCTCATACGATAATCAAGTCGTTGGGTCCCGGGAGGGCCGCGGGAATGTTGCTTGGGATCCTCTTGGGCCTGTCGAAAGGCCTATAAGGTTGAGGCGGGGGAACACCACACCCGATTCATGGCGGCCCAGCAGGTCTTCGAGCCCTGGTATATCCGCGGACGAGCCCCGCAGCCCGGGCGCCGCTGATAAGGGAGCCGAGGAAGGCCAACAACATGCCTTCGGGAAGGCGAAAAAGCGGACTTCGAAATCCGGGCACGACCGAGTCGAAAAATTGATGGGAGACGAGGCGCCCGAAGCTGGGAGCTCTGGCGGAGCTCTGCCTCTGGCGGACAAAAGCTCGCTAGGCCAAGGCGGGGAAGGGGCAAAGTTAAGGTCAGCAGGGGTGAAGGCAGAAGACGGCGACAAAGGAGTTGGGTTGCTGGAAGAGAATGAGGGCGCGACGTCTGAAGGGCATAGAAACAAACTAAAAGGTGGTGAAAAGTCGCTTCCCACGGCGAAGCTTCCGGTAGGTCCAGAGAAGGCCTCGGTGGAGGCCGTTGAGGAGGCTGAGGAGGTGGGGTAGGTTGGCCATGCCCTTTAGGGGTTTATTTGTGTTTGTTTTGTCAATCGATGGGAGGCCTTGTCATGGATTATCTGCAATGCACTACCTCATGGCTTCTCGAAGCATCTTCTCGCAATTTTTTGCTGATTTTTTATCCTGTTTTGCAGCCTTCTAGTACAGCTCGCTGTAACTGTAGCAGAACGGGCCCTTCTGGATGTGCATCAGCTCCGCGACCTTGAGCTCCCTCCGGTCCTCGGCAGCCAAACCAACCCACACCAACGTGTCCAGCGTCGCGTTCCCCGCCACCTCGTTGCCGTAATCGAACGCCACCAGGGGCCCAGATATGTCACCCTCCCTCTTTTCCAGATCTCTTTGCTGCCACGACCACCACGCCCTGTCGACGTTGGAATGGTGGAAGTAAAACACGGGGTCCCCCGGGGAGGCGTACTTGTCGGTCATGGTGCCGTAGAGGCCGCCTAGGGCCCAGTGGCCCCCCGGGTGGAAGCTGTCGCGCTCCGAGAAGACGCTGAAGTGCCCGTAGTCGGGCTCCAGCATCGCCGCGGCAACCTGGGCGGGGCCGGACATGCCGGAGAGGGAGCCGTAGGAGAGGTCGCGCCGGACGCAGTGCGGGGGCACCCCCTCGCGCTTGGCGGTGTTGTTCCAGGGGCCGAGGTGGGAGGACAGGCCGGAGAAGGGGCCGCTGTCGAGGCAGCCTCCGCCGCTTCTGTCGGGGATGTCAAAGGGAGGGCCGCCGATCTTTTTTATGGCCGACTTGCATCAGCACGAATTTCTTCCAGGAGGGCGGGAGACAGGATGGGGAGGAGAAATGCGTACAAAACCAGGAAGCTGGGGGTGGCTTCGGTTGCCGGGGATGAAGACGCCGTTGCCTCCGAAGCCGGCGACGTCGTCGAATATTGGGGAAGCCAGGAAAGACTCTTTGCTCCCCGTGTCCAAGGTCCAGTCCCAGTACGGCTGGCCCAGACCGCGATCCCAACCTGGCGTTTGCCATCAAAGTTAGTTCCACAAACCAGTGGACGAAGGAAGTGTGGAAGCCAAGCAAAATCTTACCGCATCCCCACAGTTCCTCCTCGTACTCTGCCAAAAGAAGTCGGTGGTATGGGTAGAAAATTCCCTAGGAATGCAATTCTCTTTTAGTTGATGGAGAAAAAAAGATGCAGAACGATGACCAGGAGTGCATCAGGGGTTCACGCACCACAAAATGTACCGAGTCGGCCTGCACAATGTGCGTTGCCAGAAAGTCCTCGAAGCGGTTCTGAACGGCGTCCAACGGTGCCCTGCCGGGCTTTTCCATCATGCACTTGACCGCGCCGATGTACTGGCCGCGTTGCAAGTCTGACAGGGTTCGCCTAGAGTAGGGGTAAACAGGCTACATGTCAGCATACTGCGAGATGGCGCAAGCCCTGTACCACCTATCGAGTGAATTACCATTCTTTGCGGATGTAGGGCGTTTCACAGCCTGTGCTGGTGCCTGTGGGCCCTGCCGCTGCCGTGGCGATGTGGCTGGCGGCGCAGGCCAAAGCCACCGCCAAGAGTCTTGCCATGGATTGACGTAAACGCAGGGGAGATGGTGTGCTGCGGGGTGGCCGGTCTGAACGAGGAGAAACAGGTGGTGACTGAAAGGTGACCTACATCTGGGGAAATGGCCGTGTTTATATCCCGTCGCTTGACCGTTGCAAGTCGCGCCGGGGTAAGGCTAAGGACCTATTCTACTAATAACCTATATCAGCTGCTGGGTAGAGCCCATTTGGATCTAGACGTCCGCTTCGACTGGCGGTGAGACGCCTCTTCCCCACAAAGCGACATGCAGCCAGGGTGCTTGCCGGGAAGAAAAGTTGATGGAACCTGCAGCTTACGCCAGCGTGGCCTGCAGTAGCCAGACGCTGGCCGGGGTTGTTTGCGAACCATTGAGTATGGGTGTTGCAAGGTATTGGCTCCTTTGCTTCTCCGACATGCACAAATCCAAAAGCGGCCGCTGACCACCATATCAAGCAGTTCCGAGGAGATGGTGCGTTGTGGGCTATCCGGATAATACAACCACTCAATGCAATGGCCATTCGTAAAGGCCTGGGCCTGCAGGCCGTAGGTGAAGGTGGACGAGAAGATATCTGGGGTGGCTGACACTGCATCATGTCGAGGGGGCGGCGCGGCCCGAGCGCTCGATGCCCTGCATGCGAGCCACCTACCTCATTGCCTCTACCGGCCCAGACGTTGAGGTGCGGGTCGACCATGTACCTGATTCATCAGACTGTCTCGTCCGGAATCAAGGCGGTGAACATGCCGGCGAGCTGCAGGTTAGAGGGCACACGGAGTCCTAGAACACCAGTTTGGTCGTTGGCAACACCATTGAGGGGACCTCGCCAAGACAAGCACATCCTTGACTTAGCTTCCGGCCACTTAGGCCGACCCCATACCGCGCGCCGCCATTGTGGAAAATATCAATGTTTCCTTGCGCGCCAAGGCCCCCATATAGACAGGCGAAGGCCCGCTGAAGGGCCAAGGGGCTGCCAAGGCCAGTCTCGTTGGCAGGTCCACACCAAGCAGGCACCTACTCGTGCTACTGTGTAGCTTCCAGAACGAGCCAGACACCACCCCATAAGGCTACTGACGTGAGATATGCTCCATTCCGGCAGCCTTACTCCCCTTCGTCATGCAGGGTCCTTTACATTCTGTGGGGGAAAAATGCGCGAGGTGGTTTCCCTTCATGTTGTGTCACCATGCAGCGTCGAGGACACGAGCCAGTGTTCAGCTGACGCCCAGCAACCCAAGCGGCGTGCGTAGGCTACGCATTCGCCCTCCCACATCTTCCCCCGAGTCCTTCTTGCTGCCGCTCTCAGTTATTCTTTTCTCTTCGCGACCGCCGCCTTCGCTTCCAGGCCTGTCACCTTGGGGGAGCTGTCAGGCAGTCTCAACATGTCGACATTCACGACAACCACTTCCTCCTCGGGGCCATCCACTGCCCCGGAGCCGACGACGATGTCAGCGACCCCATCAGCGACATCGTTCATCGCCCTGACAACCCCATTCGTGCCGCCGCCCTCATGCGGCGACATATGGACCACCACCACCAGCGTCACCGCGGGCACCTCGGGCGGCGACGCGGCCAGAACCGTGATAATGGTCATGTCGAACACGGCGGACCCGCGCTTCGCGGCGTGCCAACCGCCGGGCTGGGACGCCGTCCCCACCGAGAGCCGCTTCATCTTCAGCCCGGCCGTGTGCCCGAGCGACTGGACCGCCTACGCGTTCAGCACTCGCTCTCTCTGGGAGGCGTGGCCGCTACGCTCCTCCGACTCGACCACGTTCACCAGCACGCTCCACAGCTACACCGTCGCACACTGCTGCGCCCGCAGCTTCACACTCAGCAACTCATACAAATTCACGCGCGACATGTTCGGGTCGGTGGGCGTCGCCGCGTCCACCTGCTTTCAGGACATCCAGGCCACGCCGGGCGCGGTTCGCGCCCACCACGCCTGGCAGATCAAGTGGGCCGAGTCCGACGTCAAGTCGCTGTCGCCGCCGCCGCCGGCCCTGACCTGCCGCGACCACAAGCTGGCGACCTGGGTGCCCGGGTCCACGGACCACGTCTGCAACCCCGAACCGAACCGCGACTCGCACAACTTGGGCAATCTCATATACTTGGTCACTATCCTCCCGATTGTCGTCTTTATCTCGACGCTGACCTGCTGCTTCTTCTGCTTCCGCCGCCGACGGAAGCAACGCCGCCACGCCGCCGAGCGAACGGAGCAGGCCAAGCAGGACAAGGCCCAGCCCGCACCGGCGGTTTGAGCCAGACACAGCGGAGGCCCAAGTTATTGGGCCAAGGAAGCATGCCTATGTCTAACATAGAGCCAGCTCCTCGCCAGCTCAACCCGGTTACACAACGCACCTTCTCAATTACGGAGCAACATGGTTAGTACCAATGACCTTTCCAACATAACGTAGCAATTTGCTTTCTTGTTTTTTGATGCACAAAATAGCGCCCATGTCCAAGTATTTATAAATAGACAGTCGCAATGCTATACAGAAAGTCTATCCCCACTTGTTTAGGCCGTCAGGGTTGTGCCCAGGCGGTGCACGCAGCTCCATGCTGGGGTCTAGCAGCCATGGCGAGCGGTTATCGCCGAAATACCCACCGTTCGTGCAGCCGTTTCTGATCTCCTTCACGATAGCCTCGCACCTCCCGCGGTCCACCTTGAACTTGCAACCTGCAGACGCCTGCACACGCACGTTGATTAAGTCGTAGTGGGCAACTAACAGTTGTCTAATTATTCTCGTAGCGGTTAGGCCGAGCTCGGCTTTAGCAGCGGGGTGAACCATTATGGTGCCCTCAATACACTTAGGGTCCTAACAGCCGGGGAGCTTTAAACAGTCGCCGAACTCATTTTCAGATCCATAGGCAATTTTTCTGATCCATCGCCGCAGGGACTAAACAAAGTACTATTGAACAAGTCTACCAACTACCACTGCCAAAGCACTCTGAGCCATCGTTGAACCCCGAATCAATGGTGTCGAGAATCAATTCACGACCCTCAACATCATCATGGGCGAATGTTGCAAAGTTCCAAACAAGGTCTTCGTACCGCCTGCCATTCGAAGTCCTGTACTGCGTCGAATAAAAAAGTCGAGAGGTTTGAATCTCAAAGACATGCCTGCTTCGCCGCTGAACTTGGATATCTGATGGATAAAGAGCGCGACGCCAGGCTTTGTGTTTTTGCGAGGAGAGAATCTGAACCTGTCCTCCGCGTAAAGATAGTTATTATCGCGACCAACATAATCCCCTTCCTGCGGGACGGCAAAGTCGGAAGCAACACCGTGGTAATCTTGCACGTCTGTTGATTCAGCCATGGCTGTGTCTTCGGCCCTGAACGTCCCAAAATAGACAGCAACGGCCTTTTCGCGAGGGGCTTCAATCTCGCAGATGCGTCCCACAGGGTGGCATTGACAAGGAGACCACGGAGAAAAAACCAACTCGGCGAAGTGGTGGTCCAGCCAGATCATTTTGGTGATTTCCCACACCAAGAGATGGGCATCTGCGTGGCTGCCTTCGCCTCGGGTCAACTCCTTTGGGTACGGACATGGTTCAGAACCGCTAATGTTCGAGCAGCAAAGAGCCCTGCCAAAGCCCTTCTCAAACCGATCCGCATACGCCTGCCTCGACTCGGAGTCGGACAGGATGCTGTGAAGAAGCCAGTCACAGAATGGACCAAAGACGGCCTCTTCGGCCTCGGGTGATTCTTGCGGGTTGCAGACCGCGAAGCGCTTGAGAAAGTCGAGCTCATGGTCGGGCAGCCCGAGGACCCTGTCGTCTTCGTCGTGAAAACGGTGCACGAGGTTTTTGATGACCGGGTCACCGCTTGCCTTGGCCTGGAAAACCGGCTCGTTGTACGCTCCAGCCAGTGCTGCTGCACATGTAAAAAGCCTGTACAGCGCCTTATGAACCCGGGCTTCCCATTCAGGCATGCGGGCGGAATCCTCTATTCCCCAGCCACGCTGATCATCTGTCTCGAAGCGTCCGCCGAGTCTGTCATTGGGAACGTCTATATCCAGGGAACTGACCCAGATGGTCAGGACGTCCACGAGACGGCTGAAAGCAGTAGCCGACTTGATTTCCGTGACCGTTGGAACTTTGCGGTGGCCACTAAAGTCTGCTGGCGACAAAGCCTTGGGTGGCAGCTCACCTCGGGCCTCGGCCTGATGAACCAGGGTGGTGAGACGAGACTGGCAGCGGAGGCAAAGTTAGCAGCGCACAAAACGACGAATTACGGGGCGCAACACCTACGGCGATCAGGGCGTCATCAAATTCAGGGTCCTTGCGTAGGGAGGCGAGCCAAAGCACGTTTGCCGCGCCGGCCTGCTAGATGTGGTGGAGTCGACGGCATGTCGCCGCGAGGGAGAGAACATCCCGGATTGATTCGCATTGCTCCAAAATGTTGAGGATGAGCTCGGGTGGGCCCGCTCGCGCCAGAAAGTCGGGGCCATTGTTGGTGTGGTTTGTGGCTGGCTGGTTGTGCGTGAGGTAAAGCGCTTGGCGATACCGGATTAGGAAAGTGTCCATTTCTGGCTACGGCTCTATCCATTGGGGTGGGCCGTGCACTCACGTGCCTGGGCCCCACCTTATACAGGTTGTGAGTGGATGAGAGGAGAAACGGGTGAAGGCCGGTTGGTGAGCCGAAGTGGAAGAACACGCCCCAAGGGGGTCACGGGGTTGGTTCTTTCTATTGCACGCTCTTCCTATCGTAAACCCACTCCTGCCCAATCCAAAGGCGGCTCTCAATTTGGGCGGTGAATCCTTTGAGCAGCAGGAGGTATCCACGGATCGCGGTCGGGCTCCATGCGCTGCCCATATACCCCACTGCCCAACCGTTGCGTGGGGACTGTGTCGGCTGACTTTCCATGCCGGGAAGGGACCAAATGCAGGTACGGCGCGAAGTGGGCTAGTGTGGTATGGGTGCAAGTGCGGTTTGATGTCAATCATGCATAACCAACAAACAACGCATGTGGGGAAGCCTGACATGATGGCTACTGTAGCCGCAGGCCATCAAAGGGCTACATAGGCCAGGGGCTAGCGACTGGACGTCTGCCCCATTTCGCTTCGGGCGCGCTGCCCCGATGACGCCAGGCCCGTTACTGAATCGCGTGCCCGCCAGAGACAGTCCAGGGCTCGCCCTCCCAGGTCCTCTGCGCAATATTGTGGCCCCCCTCGGGTCGAAGTCCAAATCACCCATCCCCGAGATCCATCCACCATCCCCACTCTCAGGGTTGTGTATCTCGATCGTCCCCCAGTAGAGGACAGCAGCTCTCGGCTTACTTATCCCTGGCGCCCACGCCGGGCCTAATTTACGCCCACACGATGTGGACTCCATGGCCTTGCCTAACGGCCGCTCGCTGCACGTAGGCTCACGCCACGATCTCGGCAAGGATCTGTGAATAGTCTGGGTCAACACATATCCATGGGCCAAGTGCAAAGGCTTCGTAAAGCAGGACGGCATCACCATGGAGGACTTTGTTGACATGAACCCTCCGTGGCCCCCAGCTGCTACGGATGGGTCGGGGGCTCCGAGTACTCCGTACATGTGCGTAAGAAAACATTTCCTCAGGAGATGATGATAATTTGCACTTTAGATGTTCTGTTCTTGCTCATCTGACAAAATCCGTTGCCAATCATGTGTTTACTGATGGGATTTGCGGCGCTGGCGGGAAATTGGGCTGCATCGGCTCGAGTTTTGGGGAGTGCTGTGGAAAGAACGGCCGGCAAGTCATCAGTTCTGCCAAAGAAAGGAAGAGTCTGACCATGGCATCGTTACCGTTGTCGACGGAACCACATAGACGAGGCCCAAGACTTCTTCAACAAGCCGAACGCGGCCAGCAAACTCGTCGACCATGTCCACGAGCAGCCAGGCCGTGTCTACCTCCAAAGAAGTCACGTCCACCTTCCAGGAAGCTACCAGCAGTGCTCCCGCTCCAAGCCCGACTGGCCTCTCGTTCGTCCCTAGGCTGGGCGACTTCGCGCTAAAGGGCTGTTATGCGGAGCCAGATGGAGTCGCGCTCTGAAGAACATGCAGGCTGACAGAAATCTGTCAGCTCGGCCGTGGGTCTAGATGTCGGCGTCAATTTATTCGTGTTGCCTCCAGCCGCGCTTGATCAATAACACACGGAGGCACCTTGGAGTCGCCGCTAATTTGCTGCTCTATAAATAGACCAATCGAGCCCATTGCGATGCGCGCCTGCTCCGTGTCGAGCTCGTCGAGGTGGGGACGTACTAGGGGCTCATGTGCGGCATGAGACAGCCGTTGCGGCCGAGGTGCTTCGCCTAGATCCAGTCGCCGCACCCGCCGGTGTCCGTGCCGGCACCGCTGATCGCCCAGCTGCGAAGAGGTCGCTCTTGACGCTTGCCAAGGTCCTGTTGATGCCGCCGCCGGTTGGGCCGCTGCCATTGGCCGTGGACCCGGCTAAGGTCCCTGTCCTTCCCCTTGTTATCGAGTTCGTCCGCGCGAACGGCATCCGGAGCACGTGGTGGTCATGCAGACGATCGGGTGGTATCCGCAGCCCCAGGGAATTGATCGCGCGGACACTGAGCAAGCCGCGTTAAAGTTTGCCGCGAGGATTCCCCGTTCTGCCACGAGACAAAGAATAGTAAGGGCCTGAGTCGACGGGCTCTCGCTAGAGAAGAAACGAAGCGACACGTGTGAGTAACAGCCAGGCTGGCTTGAAGTTATGTCCGTCTCTGCTCCCCATCGACCCGACAGCTCGAGGGTCCAGGAGGTGATTGCCCAGTAGTGACGGGCCGTCGGGCTGAGAATCTCGTCTCCTCCAGCTTTGGAGAAGAGCGATCGTTGCCCGACATCGCGCGGTTAGATGGAGGCCATTTCTTTTTTCGTGCTTCTTTGGCAGCCACCTGCCCTTTCGGCTTCACCGAATCCCATATCCGCTATCGGAAGGTTCTAGAACAGGAGGTGTTTTGTGCCGGCCCGCGAACACATAGCCTCTTTAGGATTGGAACCCCTGGGGCGAGCTGATCAAGCGAGCCGGGATTTATCGGCCTTTCATTTGGGAGTTCAAAGCAGCAATGCGGCGTCTCCACCACGCGCATGCAAGCGCGGGTTGCGCCCAAAGCGCACCGGATGCGGCTTAAAACGGACGCATAGATGGGTCCGTTGAACACCTACACTCGGCAGGTGCTCCAAGCGCACGCCCTGGTTGCCCCACACACGCACGCCATCTTCCTCGTCCGATCAGATGCTCAGACGTGTGTTTGGGCCATCGCGCCTGCAAACTTCCCCGGGCTTCACGGGTGAAAAAAAAAACCCACAAATGACAAAAGCACAACAACGGCTGCCAGCCCCAGGTACACCAGAGGCTACCAAATTTGCTTGTGGGGATTCCAAGAGATCACGAACAGTTCATCGACTGTAGTTCATCGACTCCGGCCTCTCATTTGGTGGGCTTTTACAACTCCCGCAAAGCCATGTTTTTGGTAAACATCGTTCATTATTAGGTACCATTTACCTATCTTAGCCGAGCTGATGTTTGTCAAATCCCCACCAGGCAGCAACGCTACCCTCCTTTAGCACTCCCGACACGTCCCGGTCCTTATGTCACAGCAATCGCAGTTGGTACTGTCCTGTCCACCATGTCAGCAAGTCGTCCTGTCGACACGTCACCACATCATTAGGTGTGTTCCAGACTTACCGAGGTGTTGACGCAGGTGGCGGGGCATATTGAGACCTTGCAGTACGAGCCGGTAAGGGTGACCGCCCACAATTGCGGCTATTGGAGGAGGTTCGTGTGTTAGAAGCCGCACGTCATTGTCTGGGACGAAATGGGGCGGCAGCGACCGCGTTCTTACCGGGCAGGCACCGGGGCCATTGTGGTTGGTGTAGCAGCAAGTGTCCCAGTAGCACTATTCCCATTGTTAGACTCTCTGTTTCCCTAGCAGTGATACCAAAGGCGCGGGTCTTACAATGGCAGACACCTGCCCGCATGCCACAAAGGCGAGGGTGGCGCTGAGGAGGGATGAGGCCGTGAACTTCATGATGATGGACGTTGACGAGTTGTCGAGACGGGAATGGTAAATGAGTGAATGGCTGCGGCGCAGGGCTTGGTAAAAGAATGAACGTTATCCGAAGGCAAGCTTGGTGGGTGCTTGATCCCAAAGGTCGACTTCGGAGGTAAGATGGCAGAAATCTTTTATATCAGTCGCTCAGTTGGCGACCTCCCCTTTCCCTACCAAAAGGGTCGTGGCACAAGTCATCATCCCGGGCGTAGATCAACTGTAGAAAACGGTAATTTGCTCATGGGCGCATCGCAACGCCAGGGAGCCCAGGAGATGGGCGCGCGTTTCGGATTGGTGCCCCTATGTCGGACGTGGGGCACCGTCCGGAAATAAAAAATGTCCGAAAGGGGAGACCGATGAGCTATAGCTTATCTTAACCCCGCATGGTGGGCTAGGCTAAGCATTTGAAGAGGGCCGCAGGGGTCCTGTCTGATGCGGTGGAAGCCGGGGCGAGACGATCTGCTGTGAGGGACTGCTTTTGGTCCCTTGGGGGAGGGGGCTGTGCTTATCACAAATTCTCGCTAGTCCGCTAGTCATGGCTACAGACAGTTCCAAAGGCACATGTTCCCGTGAACAGAAGGTAGCTGCTGTTCGCGCAGTTTTCGGGGTGCATACACTCATACGCATGCTTAAGCCTTTAACCGCATTGCGCAATGTAACCTCTCCTTCGGCAGTCCCGTGTAAGAGCCCACATGCCGACACCGAAGCGCGAAAAAGGGCCGCATATCGGCGAGGACGGCTACCCCTGAGCCGCGATAGCCGGCGCCCAGGGACAGCCGTGGCCAGAGTCTGCCCGTCCAAGGAGCCGTTTACAAAAACAACCTCCGTCCTGGCTTTCGACCACTGTCCAACACCACTCTCAGCATCCGCACACCTGCCTCTCCCAGCCTCCGGTTGCAGTCCTTCGTTTGTTCATCAACCGTTTTGTGTTGCCCACGTTCATTCCTTCAAAAAACCCATTCAAGATGAGGACCTCCACCGTCGCTCAGTCCCTCCTCCTGACGGCCACCGGCGTCGCCGCCGCCGGCCGCTACTGCTCGTGGCCCATCCAGCGCACCATCAGCAGTGTCGAGCCCATCTGGACGGCGCCGGAGCTCGTGGCCGGCGTCTTTGTCGGCCCGTCCTCCACCACCGGCACCATTTCTTCGGGCTACACCTTCACCAAGTCGTGGACCATCACCGGCGGCGTGACCGGCTCGGCTTCTCTGTTCGTCACCCCCCGCCCGAAGCGTCGACGCAGACGACGCTTGCTAACAATGTGACTCCCAGGCCCGGCATCGGCAGTCTCGGCGTCTCGGCGTCTTACGGCACCACCACCGCCCAGGGCACGTCCCTGACCGTCAGCGTCTCGTGCCCCGCCAACGTCCGGTGCGGCATCATGGCCTCGACCTACGTCCTCAAGGTTACCGGCACCGAGACCCTCTTCAGCTGCGGCAGCCCCGACAAGTACGACACGACTTTCCCGTGCCGCGACTCGGCGCCTAAACAATGTCCAAACACCGTTTGGGGCGTGACCCCTGGCCAGACCAAGCCCTTTACCGCTGTAAGCATTCCTCCTTTCCCTCCCCTCTCAAGTATACCTACGTATCTAGATCATTGGGATGCTAACCGCACCGCGGCACCCCGCAGTATCTCCCGCTTGCCCAGAGCAAATCCAACGTCAACCAGCTGCTCTCCGTCAACTACAATGCCTGCACGGCCGGCACGCCCTACCAGGGCATACAGCCTTGCCCCGGCTACTAAAGAAAGAAACGAAAGGGAGTCAGGCCCAAAAATTACGGGAATGCTGGCGAGCAGCGAAGATGGCGGCGGATTCACGCGCCTCCTGCCCAGAATCTGTCCATCATCAAAAAGATCTTGGTGGATAATATTTAATAATAGGCTCGCTGTTCACAGTTGCTTGCATTTAGGGAAGCATGATGGGGATACACTGTTTGGGCAGGCAGCCTGTTGTTTGTGAAAGTAACCCGCCTATTCCCAGTGTGCTCCTGTCTAGAAACAAGCCGATGCGTAATGATACCAACCCATCCCCCTGTGAACGGCAGCCATTTTGTCGACGAAATGTGCGTATGCCGCTCGAGGCCATAACGAGGAGAAGAGCCGGCACTAACCGCCTGTGTCCTGTGCCCCTATACTATAATTTGGATATTACATCTGGCTGCTATAAGCTGGCTGGGCGGATAAGTAAATGAATGGGTGGTCAGCTAGGTGTGCTGACCGTCGGCCGCGGGGCAACCTGGAGGATACAAGGCCAGCGACGACGGATCCCATTTTCGGCTCCCAGATGGTTGTATCCAGGTCAGCGACGTTAGGCCGACTCAGCCCTGCCAGTATTGCAGCCTTGTCATCCCTAGTTTGGGGTCGCACAGCGGCGATTCCGTCCCAGCACCCAGGCTCTGGCTCGGTCAACGAGCCATAAGCCAACCACACCTCCTCCTTGCTACCCACCATGTAGGGACCCACACGAGGACACGAAGCGGCACATCGCTCCTTCAGTAGGCGTCGACCAATGGCCGCGTCTCCATGGTTCCAGCTGCCGTCATCGCCATCCGGTCCCACCGCCCTCACTAACTTCAACAGGCACCCGAGGCTTACCTTGAGGTCACACTTGCTGACAGCCAGTTTCAATACCCGAACTTCAAAAGGAATTTATTTAAGATCACGGGGCAAAGAGCCAAGCTGTGGCTGAAGGGTCAGAAGGCAGAAATCGTATCCCTATTTGTAGTCATGTTGCGAACAGGCGCCAGGGATGGAGCTTCGCTTGTTGCAGTCATTGATAATCAGGGATTTGAACCGCACATTCGACATTACCTATAAAGATCACCGGAGTCTCGATGGAAGAAGTCAAAAAAAAAATATCAAAGGGCTAAGCTTGTACCTATCTCAATCCCATCGAGTCCGAGCGTCGCCGCCACCACGAATCGTTGAATATTTCTTCACGCTTAGCAAAGCAATATCCACCCCCGTCTCCATCATGATTCCCATTCTTCCTCCCACCGGCGAGCCTGCCGAGTACAACGACAACTACATCCTGTACTGGAACAATCTTGCCTTGGACCTCAACCGCCTGTCGCACTCGCTCCCCACCAATCCCCAGGGAGGCCCCGCCGCTTCCTCGCGGGTGCTGGGCATCTTGCATCTTGCCATCCACGATGCCTACTTCGCCATCAACCCGCCTGCGGACCAGTCCTTCACCTGCTATCTTGCCGAGCTGCCGCCGCACGGTGGCCTGATGGATGCCAGGACGGCCGTTGCGGGTGCCGCCATCACGGCCCTCGAAATGCTGTACACAACCCCATCGGCCGGCATCGCCACGGCCACCACGTTCGCCATGAGGCAGACGATTGGTCAAGCGATTGACGGGTTCTCCAACCTGGACGCCAGGCTCCCCGAGTACCAATTCGGCGCGGCCGTGGCGAGGGCCCTCATCGCGCTCCTGATCCCGCCCAACGACCCCGGCGTCGGCCAGGGCGCCTATCGCACCAAGGAGGGCCCTTATAAGTTCAGGGTCGAGCCGAATCATCCGGTGCGCCTAGTCCCCGTCGACCCCAACAACCCTAACGGCCCCAAGCAGGCCATAGCCGAGTCCTATGGCCCCTTTTACGGCGGCGTGCGCCGCTTCGCGGTCCAAACGGACGACCACGTCATCGCGGACCCGCCGGCCGGCGCGGCGCGCGAGGACCCCGTCGAGGACATCGACTCACTCCTAGACACGATCCGGTCGGGCGTCGTGCCCGAGGACAACCGCTCCCGCCGCTCGCCGTCGCAGAACGTCACGGCCCACTTCTGGGCCTACGACGGTACCAACCTGATCGGCACGCCGCCGCGCCTGTACAACCAGATCCTCCGCAAGCTCGCCTTTGAGCGCCGCCCGGACACGTCCGACCTCGCGGCCGAGGCGAACAACGCCGACTTCGCGCGCCTCCTCGCGCTGTGCAACGCGGCCATGGGCGACGCCGGCATCTTCTCCTGGCGCGAGAAGTACACCTTTGAGATCTGGCGCCCGCTGACGGGCGTGCGGGAGCACCCCTCGGGCCTGGGCGACCCCTTCTTCCAGACGGTCGGCAGCCCCGAGACCAACAACAACGGCATCTCGTTCAAGCCGCCCTTCCCGGCCTACCCCTCGGGCCACGCCACCTTTGGCGGCGCCACCTTCCAGATGGCGCGCCTCTACTACAAGCGACGCGACGGGCTCGACTTCGCCGACGACGCGCCCGACGACATCGGCCTCGAGTTCGTGTCGGACGAGCTCAACGGCGTCAACCGCGACCTGCGCGAGGACTACGACCCGGCGCGCCCCATCACGCAGCAGGTCGGGACGGTGCGCACGCGCGTGCCGGTGTGCTTCTCGTCGCTGTGGGAGATTATGCACGAGAACGCGCTCTCGCGCGTGTTCCTGGGCGTGCACTGGCGCTTCGACGCCTTTGCGGCTCGGGACGTGCTGGTGGCCAACCCGAACCCGGAGCCGGGCGCGTCGCCGTACGCGCTCAACCCTGACGGCTCGACCCGGTACAAGCCCGTGGCCGAGGTGCGGTACGAGACGCGCGCGTCCCGGTTCGACCGGGACGGGCTGTTCCCCATCGGCGGCGTGCCGCTCGGCATCGGCATCGCCAATGAAATCTTTTCGGCTAACCTGCAGCCCACGCCCGAGAACGCGCAGCCGGGGCAGACGACGCAGGGGCTGGCCGCCGGCTCGGGCAAAGGGCAGGGGGCGCAAAGGAAGCTGAACGGGACGAACGGGACGAACGGGGGTGTGGCGGCGTGAATAATGGTTGGTTCGGGGTGGGTACTTTTTGGTAATGTAAAGACTCAAGTTAAACTCGCTACTTAATGAATGTTTAAATTTGCACGTAACAAGTATTTGTAGTAGTGGATTGTAAGCGAAGTGAGAACGTGTAAAAGTAAATAAGTCCTTCGAATTTCAACTTACATTGTTGCTGTAGTTAACACGTTACAGTGACAGGGTGCACAAGAGCATTTCTCTCGTGGTGCCTGAGTTTAACTGGGCAGCGAGGCGCCGACCGGCAATTTGGTAGTTACGGTTCAAGTTTGAGGCTGGAAAGTAAGAAAGGTAAAGGAGAATTCTTGAAAGCGTTGGAACGATGTGGCAGCCGCTTAGCTATTTGAATTAAATAAAGATTAAGTGTAAAAATACGTAAAACTCTAAGTAGGAAGGGGGAACGAGATTAAAGCGACGAATGAATCGATACAGAATGCCAGTACAAGAAGCGCTATTAGCGTTAATGGTAAAAATCAATGGAACAACTCTACCAAATCCTGGGTACTTACTAGGAACATAACAAGCATTATAATAAAAAATACGGATAATATTAAAGCAAGAAACTAGACCCATTCAAAAGACTTGACAAACAACGTCGTGACCAAGACTGTCAGAATGTAACAAGATTGTGGGCCTTGTGGAGGACGGGGCTGGAGGTTGGCTGTCATCAGACGATCCGTTCTTTGCTGTGCGCGGAAGGAGTGACGGAGCAGAACCTGTGCCTGCCATAAATGGCGAAGGTGCAAACCTCAACAGAACTTTGGCAGCCTAGCGCCAAATCCGCGCCGTCACCAGCTGAGAATCTCTTCATCTCCAAAACCATCACAGCCTCGACTGGAGACCGTCAAATCAAGTCAAACCCGTCTGCCATTGCAGAACACAGCTCCCTTGACAAGAAGCGTTAAGAAGCAGCCGTGAAGAGAGAGCGCCAAATAACCCTCCTAACAACTCGAACAACCGCAGCCGCCAAACCATGGAGTCGCCCGAGGAGGAAAACAAGAAGGCGCCGGTCAGCGACCAGGTACTTGCAGTGGCCGAGCCGTCTTCTTCGGCGTCATCGTCGCACAAGAACAGCAAGCCCACGCAGCAGCCCACCCACCCGACCATGACGCTAGAGGAGGTGATGCACGAGCTGCGCACGATGCAGGAGCACGAGCACCGCCGGCACATGCACTTCATGTCAGTCTACCAACCTGCGAATCGCATCGGGCTCAACACGCTGCTCCCGCCGCCCGCCCTGCCCGACATGGCCCGACGCCTACTGGGCGGCAGCAGCGGGCTGGGCCTGTTCGGCTCCAAGGCCAGAGACAAGCCCAGAGTTTCTACGAGGGATCTCGTCCGAGAGATGGACCTGTTCCACGCCGAGGATTGCTGCAACAAGTCCACGGCCGTCTACGTTCTCCGCCAGCCGGCCCCAGCGTCGATGGACTCGGGCGTGGCCGAGGCCAGGCTCCGCGTGCTGCTGATCGTGGTTCACGCCTACCTCTACAAGCGCTGGTTCGAGCCGTACAAGAGCGAGGTCGAGTGGGGCCGCTTCGTAGCCAAGACCATCGTGCCCGTAATCGGCGGCGGCAGCGACGACCAGACCCTCGACGTGGGCTCCCCCGAGGCCGACACGGCCGTCGCCCGCCTGCACCAGGCCGTCTGCCTAGCATCCAACAGGACGCGCCGCCACGTAGCGCGTCGCCACGAGTCTCTTGCCCGCCTCCTGGCGCAGCAGCAGCAGAACTCCCAGCTACAGCTCTCTCAGCCGTCGACCCCACCGAGCCCGCACTGGCTCGAGGGCGACCAGGACCCGGCGGCGCTGGACGGCGACCCCGAAGCCGTCTCGGACCCGGACGACGACGGCGACGAGGAGCATCTCCACAACGACTGCCACCCGGGCGACGACCGCCAGTTCCGCCGCCAGGTGATCGAGCGCGGCCTGGAGCCGGCGCGGGCCCTGCTCAACAAGCGCAACTACGTCCTGCAGCCGCTGTTCCGCGCCATGGCCATCACCATCTGCCTCGAAGACCACGACCCGGAGCGCATGCGCAACGGTGACGGCGACGGCGATGGCGACGCGGGCGCCATCCCCGTCCGCATCGTGCTGTTCGGCGACGAGGACGAGGTGTTTGACGATGACAACTACTACCACCACCCCGGCGACGACGGCGGCGACGAGGACCAAGACACCAACCCCCGCCTGAGCGCCCCCCTGTCCTTCGACCCCATCCGCGACAGCGTCCACGACTACCGCGAGGCCGGTGCCGGCGAACACCGCACCCGATCGGCGGCCACCACGCTCGGCGCGGCCGCCAGCTTCGTGCTGGCCATGGCGGCGCGCGAGGACGCGGCCCGCGGCGGCCCACGCCCGGACCCGGTAGAGGCCGGCCTGGACGGCGAGGACGGGTGCCTGGTGGGCGCGCGGGCGCTGCGGCGCGAGGCGCGGCGCTGGGGCCAGCCCGACGTCGACGTCGCCGGTCCCAGCTCTTCGTGGGTGGCGGTGGTGGACGACGCGGGCGGCGGCGGCGGCGACGGGGCCGAGCGGCGGCGGCTGGAGCACCACCCAGACCGCGCGCGCGGCGCCGCCTCGGACGACGAGGCGTGGATGGCCAGGCTCGAGGCGGGTGCCTACGAGAGCCTGCACTGGCGCGAGGGCAAGCTCGCCTTCCCGTCCGTCCCGCCCCGCAAGAAGAAGCGCGAGGCCAAGGAGGAGAGCTGGGTCAATCTGAGGGACGTTCGGCTGTGGTGAGGGAGGGAGGCCCTGGGTTCCTTTGTGCGGTGCTCCGCCGGGAATCTTCCGTGGCTTATCTGAGCCTTTATCAGTCTTTTTTTGTCCTCTGTTCGGATCTAGCCACACCTCAGAAATCGTGGCTCGGTCACGTAGCACCTGCTACCTTCGCCTAACCCAGGAATATAAACAAGTAGCAGAGATGGTTCTAGCTACGCAAAGCTGGCCGGAACGTTCGATTTACAGGGGGGGCGCGTTCAGGCAGCATTCTTAGTTCACATGGGTAGCAGTTGTCTACAACGATGTAATATTGTGTATAATATTATACGAGAGAGTGGTATATGTATAAAGGAGAGTGTGACCCTGGGTCGACCCCACAAAGGTGACCGCGGTGCACGCAACAAATGGCTGATGCCAGCGAAAAGTCAGACGAAGCAGAGACAAGATCAGACAAAGGACGGTCGATGCGTCTCCAAAACAAAGCGGCTTGAGGCCGAATGCTGGGGGACCAGCGGTGGACGGCCCGAGAACCACAAAGATGGGAGAGCGCGTGACGCGCCGCTCTAGTAGAAGATCTTCCTGAGGTTGCGCTTCCAGGCGGGCATGGCGGCGAGCTCCGCCTTGAAGGCGTTGATCTCGTCCCAGTCGAGCTCACGGCGGCCAGTGTCGATGTCGATCTGGTCGATCCTGAGACCGCCCTCGCGCTTCCACAGGTAGCCGCAGAGCCAGAAGAAGAGGATGACGGGGACGGTGAGCCACTCCTTGAAGAAGCCCTCGGCGTCGTTGAAGTCACTGCCGACGGGGCAGATGGCGCTGTAGAGCTGCGACGAGAAAAGACAGCAGGTTAGCATGGGGGGTGTCGTGAGTGTTGTCAGGGTAAGTCGGTGGGGGGAGGCGATGGCTGAAAGATGTAACATACCGAGGCAATCAGGACCAGAACGCAAAGGATGAGGCCGACCCAAGAGCCGTAGACACCAAAGAAAGCCTTGAAGGGGATCTCGTCAAGAGTGCGGCCGTTGTGCTTCCAGGCAGCACGGAAACGGATGTGGGCAAGGCAGATGGAGCCCCAGGTGAACAGGGCGGCCAGACCGGAAAGGGACAGGAGCCACTGGAATACGGCGTTGGCACCCTTGTTGAGGGTCAGGAAGGCCAGGGCACCACAGGCGATGTGGACCAGGACCGAGTAGAGGGGGCGGCCGGACTTGTCGACGTAGGTGAAAACGCGAGGGGCGTAACCCTGCTGGGCAAGGGCGGTAAGGGTGCGGGAGCCGCCGTAAACGCATGAAACGCCGATCGACAGGACCGAGACCAGGATGATGACGTTCATGAAGTGGTCGTAGCCAACCAGGCCGGCGTACTTGCCCGCCAGCACGAAAGGCGAGGTGCCCTCAGCGTACGGGTCCGAGGCGTTCAGGAGCAGTTCGTCCTTGGACGAGATAAGCAGACCGACGAAGAATAGGCCGAGGATGTAGAAGAGAGTGATACGCCAGAAAACCTGCTTGATAGCACCGGGCAGGGCGCGAACAGGGTTCTTGGCCTCGGCGGCAGCCAGACCAACCAGCTCAGTACCGGAGAAGGAGAAGGCAGCAGTGACGAAGACACCGCAGAAACCCCTGAAGCCGTTCTGGAACGCGCCAGGGTTTTCCCAGTAGCGAGTGCCGTGGTATTGGTCGTAGTTACCGCCAGCAGGGCCACCACCGCAGACGAGGACGACGGCGATGATCATGAAGATGACTGTGAGGAGGGGGCATGTTAGCTCTGGCAGCTCCAAGAAGTGGGCATGATTGATTTGCAGATTAACGAACCGATGGCACTGAGCTTGAGCACGGAGGACCAGAACTCCTCCTCGGCGTATCCAAGAGTTCCGAACATGTTTATGATGACGATGGCAACCCAGAAGACGATGATCCAGACGGCCAACGATACGTTCTTCGTTGCGGGCCAGTAACCGAGAGTGAGACCGCAGACGGAAAGCTCGAGAGGAAGAACGCAAGCCCACTAGGGACATCAAACCAGCACCGGTCAGCCAGCCGTCCCCGCATGTCGATTGGGTGGTTGGCGTCTATGCTTACCTGCAGGACGTAGTTCCAGCCCATGGCGAAACCCCAGGAAGGATCGATGAAGCGGACCGAGTACGTGTAGAAGGAACCGGAGACGGGGTACATAACAGCGAGTTCACCGAGAGCGTAGACGACGTTGAACATCATGATACCGATGATGGCGAAGTCGATGATGAGAGATCCGGGACCACCCTTGGTCAGGGCTGAACCGGAACCGACGAAGAAACCGGCACCGATGGAACCGCCTGTGTTGGGAGAAGAAAAAAGATGCTGTCAGTCACGCAAGTTCGGGTTTGTGAGGTTATCTAGACAGGAAAGTCAAGGCATACCGATGGCAATCATGTGCAGATGGCGCGCCTTCATGGTGCGGTCGAGCTCGACAATGCTCTCGCCCATGCTGCGCTTCTTGAACGACTCGAAGTTGAGGCCATTGCGAGTGTACCAGTTCTCCTCGCGCTGGGGGGCGGCGTGGTCGACGGCGCCGACATCTTCGGACTTGCCGCCGTACGTGGGCAGGGCGCCCTCGTCGACCTTTGCGACCTTCTCGTCCGACATGGTGTTGGCCGAGCAAGTCGCGTCTCAGTCCCGTTCTCGTGGGATGGGAGGTGCTGTGGTTCTCTGGATCAAACGAGATAGTTGAAGCCAGGGGCTGCCCCACGGTCGTCTTTGAAAGCGACGGGAAAGAGTGACGGGTGAGGAGAGAAGAAGGGAAAAGAACGGGACAGGAGGGTGATGGGATGGGCGCCGTATTTATGAACGCGGTCGGCCTCGCTCTGGCGGGCGGCGGCGCGTTCGTGGGGAAGGGCACCGCACTACAGCTCCTACCGGCCGCATGCTGCTGCTACTCCATCCATGCTGGCAGGCCGCGTCCTGGGTGCAGGCGAGCAGCCGACGGCGGCCCCATACAGCCAGCACAAAAGGCTGATGGCGACAAGAGTAGGGACCCAGCAGGGGACCAAGAGATAGCAGGTCGACCGGGCCCCCTGCTCGCATCTCAAGCATTCTTGGCGCGACAGTTTTGGGGCACCCCTCCGAGCCCACGGATGGGGGCCCAGTAGGGGTCGGCGGAATTAGTGCCGCCAAGAAGACCCCCGACCTCTGGAGGGAAGGTCGAAAGGCCTGGAGCTCTTGGGAGGGGGCGACGTTCGCTGACGGACACGGCGGGGAAGCACACAGGCGAGAGGACAGACCGACCAACAAGAGCTGTGCGGGATGGAGGGTTGGACGACCGAGGGGGGGGGGGGGGGTGGGGGGGG